TACCCTTTATTTTAAAACTGTAATTCTAATTCAAAACATCCTAATCACCACTACCTTCTCTTAAAAATTGCATTGTAGAAATTAGCATTATTATTATTTTCATTCAAATGATATTGTTTGATATCTCAACAAATTAATGGGAGATTGCCATAGCGATCTTCAATTGTCCCATCAGCTTTAATACAAAATGCTGATATGGCAGATGTACACAATGTAGCTACCGGTACAAAGTACAAAGTACAAAGTGCATGATGTAATACTTACAAAAGATGAACCAAAACTAACAACAGATCCCGTATCGTCATCTTTGTTATTTTGATTACCAGAATTACTTGATCCGGGTAACATAGGTGTGTTCATACGAGATTTACCACTTTCTTTGCCGTCATCAGTAAATAACATTTTGTGAAGTTCTTTGCGCTCCTGTTCTTCTTTCTCATGAGATAACTGTCGGGATACAGATAAGAATGAATAACATTTGAGCATATTTATAACAATAACAATTTTTTGTCCATTAAAAACAAAATTAGACACATTTTGTGGGTGTGAGTTTCAAAGTAAAATAATGGTATTGTTATTGTCTAACGTACTTGAGTAGTGGTTTTTTTGTTGGATAATAAACTCTCAATGTTCTTCTGCATCTCATCCAAGTCGCTATCATCAGCTGAACTGTAGTCCTCATCAGTAGATAACACTTCCTCTGACGCTAACACTCTAATGATAAGATGTACATGACAATCAATGAGTTGTGTTTACATACTCCCTCTATAAGTATTAATTGTAAATAAGCAGCAAGTTTAACCTTTATCTTGCCAGCCCCATGTACTTTTATATTGACTTGAGCAGATAAAGATTAAAACAAACTGCTCATGTTCAGCACTATTTGGATGGATAATGCTAATTATCACAAATTAATGATGTCAGATAAAATACTAAGATAACATTTTGTGAATGTAAAATGTGATGTGTTAATTGAAGAACACATGAAACAAACCAGACACTTTCACAATTCACATATTGTTTATTACACTATTTTGAGCTACACCAACCAAGCAACTTATGATCATGCAGAATATAACATCAATACATTACATACTGTGCATCAAGTAAAGTAGTGCCATGAACATCACACAATGTGATTGGCAGTTTTAGGAATACTTGGTCTACATACTTGTTTTGTAAATCAAAGACTCGTTGGCATTCCTCTTTGTATCGTTCTTGATGTTCAGCAATACTAAATCTGTTACCACGTGCAAACTTATTCATATTCCCCTCACCAGACTTGGCTTGTTCTGTTGACATTGTTCGTACAACGTCTATAACTTCCCATCTTGAAAGTTTCTTGATCTAAAAACAATTTAATAAAAAAATGTGAAAAAAAAAATTGGAAATAACAAAACAAGCAGCCTGACGTCAGCTGAGATAGCTCCGCTGTTAGCAATGCACATTTCAATTAAAGAACAGAAGATATCATTAGAAAATGAACAATGTGTAGACTTTCAACAAGAATTAAAAAATATCACTTTTCACCAAAAATGACAAAAATAATTATCAAAATTTGATAATTGAAGATATCATTACAAAATGAACAAATCTGAGAGAGGTCTACCCAAGGTACATATACACCAAGTATCCAAGCATTCAGACTTATAGTTTTCAAGAAAAAGTCGAAAAAGTAAAACATTGACACGGACGACAACGGACAATCACTCATATGATAAGCTTCGCTCGACAAAGTCGACAGCGGAGCTAAAAAGCAAATTAACTTCTCAAAGCAAATGTTGTAATTTGTTATCTCTATTACCTATGAGAGTTATATCATGCCAGGAAAAAGTATGTTGTTGTGGGTTTAATAGTGGAACGATATTGTTACAACATGAAGCCATATTATGTCACACAAAGTCAAAGTCAACATTAATGTATCTGACTGTGTCGTAGCGGGAAAAATAGACATTTTAAACCCATTTCCCACAGAGACATACAGTAACGCATTGCTTACATAATTTTTACAGATCTCTAAGATTTTGTTGCCAGCAAGTAGATATGGCAATATTATGGTGACAAAATGTGACAACAGTGATGACAAAATAAAGGGATTGGCTTACACAATATTTGCATATTGACAGCACCACTTATTTAACGATCTGGACAGGATTGCGAGCTAATCATGAATGTTATGGAGCACTAAAAAGGCAAGTTTTGAAACCACAAAAGAAAGTCCACATATTTGTGATTTCTTTCATCAAGTAGTGTTACTTACTTCATGTTCTGGAACACCAAATTTTCGTAATAAAGCTTTTGCATCTTTTAATGATAATCTTCTGAGATCAGCATCAGTGCCAGTCACAGTTCTTTTAACTGGCTGCGGTGAACTAGTATCATCCTGTCAGTGAAATAAAACTATTACGTAAACTACGATTACTTAAACAACAATGTTGAAAATTGTCTGTTCAAAAGAGCAATATTAAGTTACAAATAAAAAAGTCAGTGATTTTCTTGTTGCTAGGTTACCATGAGGCAGTAACATCAAAATCATATACTTGCAGGTAGTCAGAAATATTA